AAAAGAAAAGGGCCTCATATTTAGAGCCTTTAAGAGCTGGTTCAATTACACCAAGGATACTACCATTTGAATGGAGGAATTATTTTGCTCGGAGAAATACTTAAGCTGCTCCCGTAATGCTGAGATAATACTGAGGGAAGCCATCTCATTATATATTGCTCCCCGACCATAAGCCTTTTTTCCCCTTTCTATTGCTGTTGCATTGCATTTTTTATCATTTTCTTATCATTATTTCACATTACACTTTTTTTTTTTGCCATTTCCCCCCATGTTTATTCCCAGCATACTAGAACTGTTAACATTTATTTTCCTCTACTTGATTTCCCTTTTGATTGCATACTGACTTTCCCATTGTTCTGGAACAAATAATATAACTAAATTCAGCTGGGGGAATGCTGCCAACATAATCTCTGGGTACATGTCAAAAATAAAAACAATTGAATGCCGAGTTCTTATTTCCAGCTTTAAAACTGGAGAGAGGACAACCTGCTGCATGCTAACTGTACAATAACTGGGTTGAATAAATAATAATGTCTTATACACCAGAAATTCAAATGTTCTCACTATAGACCATTAACTCTTCATGAAACAAAGGAGGGATCTGTGTTTCTGAGACTTGAGGACCTCATATTTTGCAGTTGTTATGTGACTATTCAAGGTAGTTTATTCTCCTCTTACTGACAGTATTTCCCTTCCTTAATTGTCATTATTTTTGCATAAGCAGAGCATTTATTTATTTATTTAGGGCTTTTATATCCCATCCTTTCCCAAGCTCCGTAGAGGGACTCAGGACAGCTAACAAAGTGGCACCCCATGGCGCCCACATCAAAACATAAATATACAATTAACAGCAATGTAATAATAACAATATAAAACAGTATAAACAGTATAAAACCGTATAAAAACAATATAAAAACAGACAACAAATAGTCAGCGGTCACTGATTTAAATCATTATCCAAGGGCAGTCCATCAGTTCTAAATAAGTCAACATGTCAGTAGGTCAGCTTGTTCTCCAAAGGCCTGATCCCATAGCCAGGATTTTACTTGTTTCTGGAAGGTCAAGAGGGATGCAGCAGATCTAATTTCACTCAGGAGGGAGTTCCATAGCCGGGGGGCCACCACAGAAATGGACCCTGTCCCTTGTCCCCGCCAATGAACAGAAAAGGCTCTGTCCCTTGTCCCCGCCAGATCTCAGATGATCTTAGGGCCCTAGGTGGATTGTAGCAGAAGATACATTTGGACAAGTAAACTGGGCCAGAACCGTTAAGGCAGTGGTTCTCAACCTGTGGGTCCCCAGATGTTTTGCCCTTCAACTCCCAGAAATCCTAAGAGCTGGTAAACTGGCTGGGATTTCTGGGAGTTGTAGGCCAAAACATCTGGGGACCCACAGGTTGAGAACCACTGCGTTAAGGGCTTTAGGCCAAAGCCAGCACTTTGAATTGTGCTCGGAAGCTGATAGGCAGCTAATGGAGCTGGCATAACAAGGGCATTGTGCGCTCCCTGTACCCAGCCCCAGTGAGCAGCCTGGTTGCCGACCATTGGACTAGTTGAAGCTTCCAAGCAGTCTTCGGAGGCAACCCCACATAGAGTGCATTGAAGTAGTCTATTCGGGATGCAATAAGAGCGTGGACTACCATGGCCAAGTCAGGCTTCCCAAGGTACGGGCACAGCTGGCGCACAATTTTTAACTGTGCAAAAGCTCTCCCGGCACTGCCGAGACATGGGATTCCAGGCTCAGCGATGAGGGAATATTGGAAACAGGCCAAAAGTTGTCAAATTGAGTGAGGTCCAGTGATGGTTTTTTCAACAACAGTTTTATTATAGCTGGTTTTAAGCTCGCTGGAATCTTGCCTTCCCGCAGGGAGGCATTAACCACCATCTTCACCCACTCGGCCAATCCCCCTCTGGCCTCCTTTAGAAGCCAGGATGGGCAGGGGTCTAGGATGCATGTGGTTGCTCTTGCTCCTCCAAGAATATACATAACCTTTATCAACTTTTGAATCTGTCTCCATGAATACAGTCAAAAGAGAATAGGTTTTATCAGTCTGCGTGGAATATTTTGATATTAACCAAGATTCAAGGGAGAATACCCATTTCCAATATCAACAAAAGTAAGACTTTTTTTCCCTTCTTATTTTGATGCAGCTCTCTTTGGTGTCAACACCCAACTTACAGCCTATCAGATATTTTAAGGGTGAGATAAGAGGACAATAATGCTGTCCCAAATTAGCAAGGACAATCCTATTTAATCCTCTGTCGCCCAACTCTTGTTTTCAAAATGTTCCAGTCCCTCTTTTTCCATTTGACCTCAGCTTGTCTCAATTACAAGCACAAAAGTAGTTTCTACTCAATTTACTCAGCTGGGGAAGAAGACAGGAGAATGCCGACACTTGTCCTTCTTGGTGGGCTCAGAAAAAATAAGCTGTTGCAGCTTCTTCTAGCTTGTGCAAAACTGAAAGAATATGAGTTGCCTAAGATAATCTAGAACCTCTTTTTCCTCTCCGTTGTAGCATGCTGGCAAAACTGAGTCCCATGGAGGTTATCCCTGCCCGTGGAAATCCATCTTGCCAGAGTGCTAAAACAGAGAAAAGATTCTGTTTTCATTAGTGGGAGTTCTCTGACTCCCAATTCAAGAAAGTGAGGGGAAGCGAGGGAAGCAGGAAGATGACAGGAAAGATCACGGGATGGCTTGCCACCTACAAAGATGGATCTTTCCAATGAATGTTTTAAATAAGACTGGTCCCCGCTTCCCAACACTTTTCCTTGCTTCCCTCCCACCCAACATATGAAATCCCTAATGTGTTTTCATAGTTGAGGAGAGAGTAAAACCCTGGTTTCCTGAGTAGTAGTCCAATGTTTAAACCACCACACCATGCTGACATTCATACCACTAAATATATATGAAAGAGACTAAAATTTTCAATAGGTAATGGTTTGTATTAGTGAACAGTGACAGAATAATGACATGGGTGTCCATTAAGTCCATGCTAGATTAGGAGCTCAATCAGTAATGAGCAGTTGGGGGGTTGAGGTCCAACAACACCTGGAGGGATACATGATCCCCATTCAAATGTTAGCCCTATGATACTAATCTGCCTTTTATCATGGAAGGTTTTGTGAAAGGACATTTGTAATTCCAGAATGACAAGTGCCCAGCAGTCACAAAGAAAACACCATGAGTAATCTGTTTTGACTGTTTGCCACCATTCATATTGTACATTGTAGTTAAGAATGTCGTCAAGCCTTAGGGAATAATGGGGAATTTTAACCAAACAGCAAAGCCTCTGTTATATATGTACAATTCAAAAATTGACAGAAAGGCCACTCTGAAAATGTTTTCCAGTCACCCAAGATATGAGTTAAATTAATCCAAAAATAGTGCAGTTTTATGCCTTCATTGCCAACCCACAGTGACCCTAAGGGGAACCTATCATCAGGTTTTCTGATATCCAGAGTCAATCCAACACTCAAACCACATCACACTGCACAGATAGAATTGACAAAAGGAAAGAATGTTTAAAAAATTACCACATTAAATGAGCTGAGTATATAAGATTATGTGCCTCTTCAAACTCAGCATATAAAACATCTGTTCTAAAAGGAACTTGTGATTTTCATGTATGATGGAAATTTTCTCATACTATTATCTAAAAATATTTTATAATTGCTTTACTCAGATTAGGAAAGCACTGTAACTGTATGAAGGTTAACTGAGTAACTGGAAAATCAAATGACAAAACTGGTTTGCCATAGTATTACATCATCACATGAGGTCACCATGAAGCTAAATCTGAGTGAAGGCAATAACTGCTGTACTCTGTCTGGAAATGTGTGGATAAAAGAAATATCAAAATCATCATCGCCCTGGAGAACTATCACAATTATTGATGAGTTTACAAGACAATTAATGTGTCATTTCTTTTCTCCTACATGTATCTTTTATTATAGAGGAGTGTTTCTCAACCTTCCTAATGATGTGACCCCTTACTACAGTTCCTCATGTTGTGGTGACCCCCCAACCATAACATGATTTTTGTTGCTACTTCATAACTGTAATTTTGCTACTGTTATGAATTGCAATGTAAATATCTGACATGCAGAATGTATTTTCATTCACTGGACCAAATTTGACACAAATACCCAATACACCCAAATTTCAATACTGGTGTATTGTCATTTGGGAGTTGTAGTTGCTGGGATTTATAGTTAACCTACAATCTAAGAGCGTTCTGAACTCCACCAATGATGGAATTGAACCAAACTTGGCACACAAAACTCCCATGATCAACAGAAAATACTGGAAGGATTTGGTGGGCATTGACCTTTGAGTTTTGGAGTTGTAGTTCACATACATCCAGAGAGCACTGTGGACTCAAACAATGATAGATCTGGACCAAACTTTGCACAAATATCCAATATGCCGAAATGTGAACACTGGTGGAGTTTGGGGAAAATTGGCCCTTTTGGGAGTTGTAGTTTCTGAGATTTATAGTACACCTACAATCAAAGAGCATTCTGAACCCCACCAACAATAGAATTGGGCCAAATTTCCCACACAGAAACCCCATGACCAACAGAAAATACTGTGTTTTCTGATGGTCTTTGGTGACCCCTCTGACACATCCTCATGACCCCTCCAGGGGTCCCAACCCCCAGGTTGAGAAACACTGTTATTGAGCATACTAAAATGACAAAATCCTACAAGAAAAAGTATGCATTTTGGTTTAAATAAATGTCTCCTGCATATGTTACAAAATTAAGTTTGATGTAGTGTTTGCTTGTTTGTTAGAAGACTATAAAAATATATTTAGTCAGATCATGTTCAAATACTGTTTGTCAATGCAATATGCTTAACACAAGCAATTGGGGGGGGGGGGGAATCAACTGAGCCATACCTGAGAATGCACCATTGTATAATACTAGAGACCCACACTTGTTTGTCTTCAAGATTGCTCATAAAAAGAGAAATGATTAAATTGAGAAAGAAAAAAGAATTACCTCAAGGCAACAGTCTTTCCATTTCTATGAGTGCACATCACCTGTCTCGTCTGGTATCCAATTTGTATGTCCCAATATTTGTTCTCCTGTCTGTTCTGTCTGTTACGATTCCTCTTCTTTTTAATAAGCTCACGGGCCTCTGGATCCCTGATTGCTTTCTCTTTCACCTTCTCCTTCTCTTTCTCCTTGTCTTTGTCCTTCTCCTTGTCTTTATCTTTGTTCTTCCCACGTTTCCTGGCTTGCCTTACATGCCGTGAGTGGGGCACTGAACAGGTACTCCATGGCCCCACATTCAGGCTATATAGGCTTTCTTCAGTAGTGCATGGGGAGGAGCTACAAACCTGAAAATCTGTCAGGTTAGGACAGGCTGAGCCCCCATATTGCGGTGGGGCCACAATGTGGCGAAAACGATATGCCAGTCCTTTGTCGCAGGTCTTGGAACACTCTGACCAGGCAGAAAACTCGGATACGGTGCAGTCCTGCCGGCAAGGAATTAGGCATCCCTGTTCCAACTGAGGCTTTGGCTCAAAGTACTCACATATTTTATCATCAGCTGTAACACCATTTGATTTTTGGACACAAGTCACATCCCTCCTCTGTATTCCTTCTTCTCCTCTGATGCATTCCGTTGGCTTTTCTAAGTTCCTCAAAAGAACTGGCTGGCACTGATTCCAGTTGCCCAACTGCCAGTCATACAGTTCCTTGTGCCAGTCGCATATGGTGAAGCAACTCTGCTGGTTGTCGGGCCTCTCTGCCTGCTTGCAGTTTGTGAGTAGTGTGGTCCATCCTTCCACATGGGCACACCAGATGGCTCGACTTTGGGTCCCCCCTGGGCCACATTTATCTCCTGTACATCGGCCCCACGGACCTAGAAAAACAAAAGGGAGGAAATGAACACTGAAATATCCAACATCTGAATAATAGTTGTTTCCTCATTTAAAACAAACAAAAATATGCAATAATTAAAGTTTAATATTTCTCAGAATTTAAATATAAATGTATACTAAACTGATCTACATAGACACTTCATAAGACCACACTACCATAACTCTATTTATTGGTTTTTCCATTTTTCTTTGGATTAGAAATACAATGGATTTTTGTTTCCCTTTACATTTACAAAATAGCAAGCCATTTGCTTTTCAGTATGTGTGTATGTCTGCCTTCAGGTTCCTCTCATTGTATATTGATCCCATACATTTCATAGAATTTTCTTAGACAAGAAATACTCAGAAATGGTTTTGCCAGTTCCCTCCTCTGAAACATAGTCTGCTACACCAGGTATTCTTTGGTGGTGTCCCATCCAAGTATTACACAGGGCTGGCCCTACTTAACTTCCAAAATTATACAGGATCTAGTACATTTATGGTACAATGTATAGGGCTTTCTTTCCACTAACCCTTTATTCCAGTGTTTCTCAAACTGTGCTTCTCCAGGTGTTTTGGACTTCAACTCCCACAATTCCTAACATTTAGGAAGCTGGCTGGGATTTCTGGGAGCTGAAGTCCAAAATACCTGGAGGAGCACAGTTTGAGAAATACTGCATTAACTAATCATCTTCATAGCCTATATTTGGAACACATCTGGGGGAAAATGCTTACAAATAACATGATAGTGTGTAACTTGTTGCTTGTTTTTTCTCTTTTTCTTTGTTACAATAGTTTAAGTTGTATTTCAAAAATAAGGAAGTAAAATGGAATGGCATTACCTTGGGTAACAAGTAACGTTTTCTAGCTAACCCTTTTGACTAACTTCAAAGAGAACTCTTCAAGCTTTTTGAATTTTCTCATTCATCCTAATAGAGTTTTGAACTGTCAGAAAGCAACAAAAATGTAACTACTAAATACATTTCCCCTCAGTACTAACAAATTACATGGGAGACTTTGTAACATAAGATACTACTTGAAAACCAACAAAGACCTGATACAGAAATACTGACAGATCACAGAACAGGGATATACACAGCTGATGGGAGTTGGTAAAATAACAATGTCAACTCCCAAAAAGAAAAGGAAAGAAAAAACAACCCTTTCCTCACATCTAATTTATCATCTGTCTTTACATATCTCCATTTTAGCATTTCTGAATAAAAGTTCTTAAAGGGACATATAACATCATGCAATGAATGCCAATGCAGAAAAAAAAATGTCATTGAAATGAACATATTTCAACGCCTCACTCCTTGCATTGCTAGGAATTAGGAGATGGAGGATTTTTTCAATGGGGGAATGGGGTTTTTATTTGGAAAGCCAATTCTCCCATAGATACACCCTGTCTTTGAATCACCTTGGCATTACAGAGTTTGAAAGACTCACAGATCTCTGCACATCTAAAAAGACTGATCTCAGTTTTTGTAAGTAACATGAACTATTGTCTGTTCCTGCCAGCTGATAATTGTCCATTGAACCTTGAAGCAGCATCGTGGGTTTTGGCACCTCAGAGTGCTCTGATTAAATTAAAGATTTGTGGGATGCGAGTGGCAGGAGCATGCAAGGGCTCTAGGGGCAGAGATACTTGGGGTTGAATTCCATCTGTCCAACTGATCATTTGAAACACAAAAAGATTACAAAAAAGTATAGCAAGAAAGAAAAAAGTGATCTACACTCCCACTCAAAATACAAAGACAGTAACCTAATGTTCCATTGTCAAATACAAAGAGCTGTTGTGTATCCTGAATTCATGGAGAAAGTCACCCAAATTGTAAATAGAACTGCTTGGAAGAATAACACTGCGGATTATGCAAGGGCCTTGAAGTGCTTCCAAAGAATGTTTCAACTGATTGCTAGTCACTGAACCAATGCCATCTCAATTCCTGCTTTTGGCTAAGTGCTAAGGAGGTGGTGATATAGTTTGTGTATTTATAACACTGTGTTGGGAAAATTTCAATGAAAATACCATATTTACTCAAGCACAACATGCCATCAAATGTAATGCGCATGTTAATTTTGAAGGTGTAAATTACCAAAAAAAATTGCAGTAGAATGTAATGCTGTTGAATCTAATGCATACCTCAATTTTAACTATGTAATTTACCTAAAGGTGAGCATTAGACTCGAGTAAATATTATACCTTGAACAATCATTTTCAGTATTGGAAAATTGCTTTAGTCATAGACTGGAAACAGGATGGAGAGTAGGTGAACCCTTCCCAAGACTATGTTTTGAGCTTGTGATTATCTGGATACCAAGAATAATATGATGTTCTCCTTGGAAATTATTCATTGGAACAATTCACCAAATTATTATTATTATTATTATTATTATTATTATCCACCCAATAATTTATCCATCAGATCTTTCACACAATGATCAAGCACTACAAAGTATTAGGACGTCATTAGTGAAGTCTTCCAGGAATAATAAAGGCTGACTGCAGTCTATTCTGTACACACCCCCATGCATCTGATAGACTTAATTACAAACATGTCCATCTAAAAAGTGTGACAAACCATTTCTGTGTTTTGTTTCAGTTTATTTTTTGCTGCAACAGATTAGCCAAAGGGCTCTTGCAATGCACATCCCAAAAATTATGTCTTCCAATTGGGACTTTAAATAAGATATTACAACCCTATTCAGAGAACAGATGTGCCATTTTCCCTAGCCAAGCACATGAAGTACACATACCGCTTGATATGATATAGGGGATCTTATTCTGTCACCAACTCTTACATTTTTATGAACATTCACCAGCTTCAATAGCTGTAGGATGTGGACTGACAGATTTTGTTCCAAACTTGGAATACGAATGATTAATGGATTGGGACACTCTCTTGTGTTTTGCAGAGGTTTAGAAGCAAAACCTTTGCCAGTGCACACACTACACAGAGAAAAGAAGACACTGTTGTCAAATATTTTGCTCACAGACTTTAAAACCTTAAGCATTACATCCTTGATAGCAATGCCAGCTGGCAGGGATAGCTTCAGTGCCAGGCAAAACTCCTGTCTGTTTTGGGCAGATTAAAGTTTGAATTAGGGTTTCCAAGGTTTAGCCTGGTAGCCAGCAAAATAAATGTATGTTGTAAGCAGAAATACATTTCAGCAAGATTACCCGAGTTTATCTCTAACCAGCCTTCCACAAATAACATGATAGTTGCTGTTGGGTCCATTTTACTTCAAGTCTATTTATATTATGCATAAGAAACAGTAAACACCGGTAGAGAGGAGTTTTACAAAATAAAACTGCTCAAATTTAGAGGAAGGAAATAAAGACATAAAATCAGCATGTAACACAACATTATCACAGTCGAACACAAAGCAAACTCCTTTGCCTTCCATGTTTCAAGCCTCTATTTTATCATATCACCACACCTTGTGTATCCTGTGTGTGTCCAATTAACAAGACCTTCCTTAAGAGATGACACTCTTACTCTAGATCAAGGGTAATTGTTTTTGTGAGCCATGGAGGTTTGAAGCAATTCCACATTTGATAGTTCTTGGTGGCCTAAAACTTGTCAGCCCCTTAACCAAACTATTTCTGCAAATGCAAATAAAATTACATTATTATGGCATGACGTGAGACCCGAAGCAATGTAAATCAGGAAAAAATGCTTTCAAGTGTCAAACTGAAAAGGTGATAAATGGCAGCATAATTTAGCCATATCTAATTGCTCGAACGGCACTTTAGGACTTAAGCAAGAGTTTTAACAGGGCCATAAAATACAGTGGAAACAGGGTATGTGAGAACTTATATACACTCTAATCTCCTGAACTTCTGAGCTGAGGCATAAGCTCATACAAAAACTTGGAGAGAGGAAGAAGCAATGGAAGGAAGAGGAAAGCTTCAAGGAAAGGGCCTAAGCTCTGTTTTACACAGTCACAGAGCACTTGCAAGGCATTCAAAAGGCTTAGGTTACAGGCAGAACCTTTGCAAAGGAAGATAGATCTCTGGTTAGAAATAATGAAAAACTGCTGTTACTACTATATTATATCAGTGGTTCCCAACCTATGGTCTGTGGTCCACCAGTGGTCTACAAGAACTAAAATATGGTCCACGGCCTCACTGTTACTACACTGTTGCAATGAGAGCAACTGGTCTCACAAAACTCTCTTATAGTGCCAAGGCAATGGGGAAATCGCGAGGGGAGAGTCTGACTACCCATGACAGCAAGTCTCCTGACTGCTGCTTCTCCTCCTCCCTCCTTCCCTCTTAGTGGAGCCATTCCATGTGATGCCTGGAAACACGGGTGCCTTGATGTCTTCATTTTTAGGTCTGTTAAACTGTGGTGCCGAATAGGGAAGGAGGAGATGAGATCGGCTGCCACGTGGTCCTGTTATGGATGAAAATCCATGACGGCTGGCCCCTTGCCATTATAGGTGCCCAGACAAACTGAAGAAACTAGATTGGCTGAAGGAAACAGATCAAAACAGCTCAAGCCTACTAGTTATGGTTGGTGTAATAAAAAAGTCTAATGCTCAAGCTATTATACCATACTGTTAGGGTTAACTACATGCATAATTTAAAAAATAGAAACTCATTGTGTGATTTATATGGGCAGTCTTCCATTACAGAAGGAGGCAAACAAATGTGTTTTCCTTGAAATAATACAAAACAAACTAAATTGCAATATAAATATCATTAAAGCCTTATCTACTAGCTCCAAAAGAAATACACACAGGAATGCAAATGACTTAGTAAGAAACCTCTTTGATTTTCTTTCATTCTTTTTATTTTACTATCTGGCCTGAATCTCAAGATAAACAAACTAATGTGGAAGTAACAGTACACTGCTGCATGATAGGAAGCAAGCTCTGTAGATATATAATGCTTTTTACATGGAAGGGGGAGATAAAGAGGATTTGGCAGATTATGAATTAACCTCAGCTGTAGAATAACTCAGAAATATTACTTATGAAAAGCTTTTTATTTTAA